CCAGTCCACCAGTGTTTCCAAGTGGGATAGGCGAATGCACAACTAGGTTAAAAGTTAAGAGCTATGGGACCAAGAGGCGATCAAAAGGAGTGCGAAATGTCTGGTTTGGGAGACCGTGACTCATTGGCCGTGCAATTAATAGTTCGTTTGGCTCATAAAGTTCGTAACAAACTACTCTGCTTTATTCTTTGTTGTGACTTAGGTTGAAACCATGCATGCCTCTGGTAACGGTGCCATCGCACTGGTAACGTCCACTACGAGGATAAGGACTACTGTGGTGCCCCTAGCAGCCAGATCGCTAAGGTTGTTAGTAGCAACCATGTTCGTAGAGACACGGTATAAACGAATGATCAGTGACAAAGCATATACGGATGATTACTGGAGGGAGTTGAGTATGGTTGGAGCCATATTTATTCATTTATTTATTGAGAAACAGCCTCCTGGTGGGCAAATTAGTACGGGATTAGGAGTAGAGTTGGGTTGAATGATACTGATAAGTTCGGTTGGATTGTGATAAGAGCTGATGAGAGATGGACTCCACGGACTGTCATCAAATTTTTGCGCCTACACGGGTCTCGGTTTCGGAACGTATCGCAAGGTAAGAGTTTACCAAATCTGCTCTATTTACGCGGAGTCTCAGGACAAATTATATAAGGGATGGTACTGGTTATGATGATGGAGATAAGGAATGGTGGCGAATTTATGGTTTATGCATATAACCCGTCAACACAAAGGGGTTATTCATTGCGCTCAATAACATGTATAGTAAAACCGAATACTAGATGAGAATGTAAGGCCATACATAGCTCGAAAATGGATCTATGACATGAAATATCATTGCCGACAAATATCTTTGGCTTTACGGAAGGATCTAGGACCGGAAGGCGAGTTAAAGATTGCTGGCCTTTTAGACAGGGTACCGGAGGATATGGCAGTAATGGTCGCGCCTCAACTTGCTTCTTGCGGGAGAGGTACAGCTGTGCAGTTTAAAAGCGACTGCCGCTTACTTCTAAAGAATCACAGTCAATTCCGGTTAAAAGCCAGGAGTTGCAGATAGGTGCTTGGAGTGCAGGTAAGCTTTAAAGTTCATGGTTACCATTGCTGCGCAGTACTCCTTAGAGTATAATAAAGCTGGGATAAGGAGGTGATGGTCGATAATTGAACCGCTGTCAGCGGATAGGGCACATTCACCGGACATGCGGCTTTGCCAATCTTTTCAAGGGTGGTATGCCATGTAACGTTCTGTTTGCGCCATAATAATGTTGCTAGCGAGGTACACAGCCGTCGCGGTGAAGATACGAATTCTGCGTACTAGGCCGTCTACAGTTGCACTTACACGGCCACGTGGGTTCTTAGGACCTGCGCGACTGCAGGAGAGATGGAAATGGGTCAAGAGTTAATACAAGTTGTTGAAGTGGACCATAACCTCAAGTTTGCAGCGTTAGCTTCTGGACTTATAGTGCAATTGATGCAGGCGAGATCTCAAAGGTGGGAATGAGAGGTAGTAACTTAAGGGGGACAAAAATTATCGTACTAATGTATCGCATGCTACATCTGGATAACGCATAGTGTTACATCGGGGTGCACCGGGGTTGTTAATGTTCCACCAGGCCCAGCCTGAAAAAAGCGGTCGTCCGAGGGGTAAAAGTTAGAGAGTAGTTTTTCGTTACCCAGGCACAGGAACTTTTGAACTTCCTGCTTGAAATATTGCGGGTTCTGGATTTCTCGCAACCTTGTTGGTAGCTTGTTCCAAGTATTTATATATGCAACTAAAAAGAAACGAGTGCCCTGTTTCTTCCTCGCTTTCAGCAGAGTAATAGTACCAATCCTATTTCTGTGGTTACGTTTCGTTACATCTCACAGAGTAAGGCTGGTTATAGCAACGTTACTAAGTTATGTATTACCTTGTGTAGTAAGCATTATTTAAGGATAATACGTCACAGCTACAGGGGTTGGAGTCTGGGCTGACCACCGCCCTGTCTGCCTCTATGAACTTGAAGATAAAGTATGTACTTATTTATAAACGCTTGGTGTTGTAGGGCGAGCATTTTAGCGAAGCGCCGTTGGGCGTTTCACGCAAAATTCCGTCCGATTTGCGCAAGCTGCTGCAAATGAAAGCGCCGTACTCCAAGATCGTGCGAACTTGAGTCCGGTAACCGCCTAGACATGCATCGACGGGTTTATGCGGAATTGTAACCAACCCTAACCACGCGGGACATCAACTGTTCTAGATTAGTCAAAACAACAAACTAAGCGATCCTTATCTCAACTTACGAGGGCAATACGGTTGGTTGGAGTATCCAAGACACCTCTTGCCGCGTGTCTTCCACACATGGAATACACACACAGGTTGTTATTTTTGCTCACACCTGTTTGAGAATAGCCTCGACCATGCATTGGCTGTATTGCACCATCTCAAGTAATTCAAACGAACTACCCAGCCAACAGGAATGCACAAAAAAATCAACTCACCATTATTTTGCCTGCAACTGCAGCTGATGACCTTAGATAATGCGTAAAGTCAAGTGTTGACTGCTCGGCCAGGGAGCACTTAAACGGCAATTTGGCAATTCTTGGCTGTTCACTAGGTTCTGTTGCTATTTATGCTTCATTTTGCTCACCGATAACAGATAAACCGGCGGCTTTTCCTCCGCTATATACTATTGGCCCCGTAGAGTTACATACATAACATTTTCACCATTGCTCTCAAACGACTGCGTGGTGGTTAACAAGTAGTGAGTATGCTTCGGCGACCTTATGCTAGGGGCCCTTGGTCTACCTTATATCGATTCAATTAGCTTGCATGCCTCGGTGTCATGCTGGACCAAGTTCCCATTGTTATGCACTTGCGTTCTATTGGATGCGGCAGTTTAAAACGTGAGCCAACGCAGCTCCCAACCGGTCATTTTCTTCTGGCTTTCCAGCAACCATGAGGTAGTTGACTAGCCTGCAACGCAAACACTGACGGAATCCGTGGATAGTATTCGTGCTTATTCACATGATTCACGGACGCAAACTTTAGAGTCGGTTGTTGGGAAGCAAACATTAAACATCCGTTGCATTTTAAAACAGTTGCTCCAGGATTTACCGCAAGTGTCAGCAACACCACAAGTACTAAGCATGAATAAATTCTGCAGCGTATCGCGATTGACGAAGGTTTTTCATCAAGAAAGCTGAACTCGTATTTCTCTCTAGACGTTAGTTGTACCCTAAATGACCTTCGGATTCGCGCACATTGATCGATACACCACGACGTTGCCCGGTGAACGGGTTAAGTGTCCAATGCGTACACCCTAATGATTACATGCATATGCTACGTGTTGTAAGCTAGTAAGGTTGCCGTCATTCCCAAGTTGCTCCCACGGAGCACGTCTTAGTTGCCCACTACAATTCTAGTTTCTTCAGCCTAGGTCAGCCTGAGGGGTACATTGTGCAGACAGGTGTGGTATTACACTCCTTGATGTCTGTCTGATCTGAAGTCTTTGTTGCCGTAAGCAACCTGAAGAAATACCCTTCAAAGCGAAAGGAAGCCCTGTCCTCCATGGTAGTTGACCGTTATGACATTTGATTAGTGACAAGTTGCTCTGTGTGATGGTCACGGAGCTCAGAATGTGCCACAGCTTTTGCCATTAGCCGACCGATCTAAATGCTTCTTGCTCATACTTCTATCTGAGGTTGGCTATTCCATTCTATTACCACACAGTGGCCGCACTGATTTCTAACAGAATTCCGGGTTTTGTGTGGATTACCCAGTATAAAACTGTCACCAGCACAAAAGTTCTGTTTCATTGCTACCGTCCAGATGATCAGTACCTCTTGCTGCATGCTCAGCAACCATTCTCAGCGCAAAAACCATCGCACAGTTTACAGCAATTTATCTCAAGTATAAATTTCAAGGTAAGATTTTAACACTGCTTAATCCCATGGCTGTTTGCTCGGTCTCTTCTCGGCCTGTTCCTCTTTTTTCCTTTCCTCAATGCCGTGGCAACTAATCCTCTGGGTTTAGCAGAGAGCTTTAGGTATTTCCGCACCCTATTTTTCTTCCCTTTGATCGGCTCATGAGCACAGGCAGCAATACTACTTGGACTGGCCGGTAGGATGTGCGACTTTATGACCGAGTGACAGACTCCAGTGGATGGATCGCCAGCAATGTTGCCGTCTTTTGCAGGATCTTCAAACGAAATATTCAGGGATTTTAAACTCAAATCCATTTTCTTATCGAGCGACGCAATAGAGGCGAGTTTAGCTATCGCCTCCTGAACATCTGCCAACCTTGAAGCCAGTGCTGAAAGTTTAGCTCCGGTGACAGCCGGGCGCGTCACTCTTTGATCGCAGCATTCAGCACAGCTGAAAAGAAGTGAACGCTTGATGATAGCATTTTGTACTGGTCAGCTTGTGGGCCGGTACAGCTTTCGGGATACCAGCGGCAGCAGACGTCACACTGCATACCGCCGGATACATCTGTTACTTGCTCTGAACAGTTAACCTGTTTGCAAGCTGCAGTAGGCTCATCAAACGAGGACCCCCAAATGTCCATCCGTCTCGGTGTTTAGCGAGACAGCCATATTCATGTGGAAAACAGAGTAGAATAACAACACGTATACAATAAGAAAATGACCGCAGTAAAAAGGCAAAAACAGGGTGCAAAACGGGATTAAAACTGGAAACAACCGGAAAAATTACCAGTAAGCGCCAAATGCGCTTTGGCCAGTACCACTTTAATCGATCCAAAACATCTTGGATCAGAGAAAATTTGACAATAGTCCAATTTCGTTTCAAGTGTTTACTCAAACACTGTTTTCCACGTTATTTCAGCTGAAAATCTCGATCAAAATGGCACGCCAAATATGGAGTTACCGCGTAGTACTCACAGTTAACAAGACGGTTAATATCTCAACGATTACCTTATTCAGATCTCATAGTATTGGTGCACCCCAAGATTATGTTATTCATAATAACGATGCACAACCTCGCAAAGTTTGAGATTGTTGTTTTACTCCGTCGACAACAAAAGCGCTCGCCATTTGCGTCTGGTGTTGCAATGGCGTCTTCGGTCGTGTCTTCTGTGAAGAATGGCGGTGATCCTGGTTGGATGTACTGTGGTGTCAAGCTAACCATCCACAATATCATTATCCCAGAAGAGCGCCGATCCCCAACTCCTTCGATGCTTGATGGTATGGATTCTGAGTTGGAAACTGAACTTCGCATAATGGGTTGCGAGTTGATTCAAGATTCTGGTGTCCTTTTACGGTTACCCCAAGTTGCAATGGCCACAGCACAGGTGCTTTATCAGCGATTTTTCTATTCTAAGTCGTTTATTCGCCATTTTTACGAGGTTGGTGGTTTTTAGTCTTATTTCAACTTGTAGCACTATTCAATGGCTTGCATTTTTCTGGCTGCAAAGCTGGAAGAGTGCCCTAGACGTATCAGGGATGTCATCAACGTCTTTCATCACATTCGGCAAGTTAGGGAGCAGCGGTGGGTTGTATTTTGCTTCTCGTTTATCTTATCAGCGTTCCTACTCCAGTGATGTTGGACCAAAGTTACAGCAATTTGAAAAACCAAGTTATTAAGGCTGAGCGTCGTATACTAAAGGAATTAGGTTTCTGCGTTCACGCGAAACATCCACATAAGGTTTGTTCGGTTGTAGACGCCTGTAACTTCTAGCTCATCATCTGTTATCTTAAGGCTCTTGAACAGGAGACAAACGGGAAACTTGTGCAAACGGCATGGTAGGTCTAGCAATTTGTCCGATGCGAGGTGGTTACATATATTGTTTTGCTTGTGTGGTTTATGAAAGATTCTTCATGTTTGTCTTTCCACACTTGCTTAGAAGCCTTGCTATCAATTAACCACGTGATGGTCGGATTTGCTGGACAGCTAAAGCGTAGATCTGCTAGTCAGTCTTACGATGTGTTCTTTAATTCCCTTACCGTGGTTGATATCTGTTCCCACACCAGAGTTTGTCTGCGATCTGTCTGTCACACAACCCATATCCTCGTGCTTTTTGTAGAACTTGTGGTGCTTCGTTTCCTACGCGGGGGTCGACCTTCTTTGTTGGTCTCTTGTCAATAATAGTTTGGCGCAGTTCGTCACTGGCCGTCACTGTATTTATGGTTCACTTCTAATACATCTTGTTTCTTGTACCACTTAGGAACTATATGAATGACAGTTTACGCACCGATTTGTTCGTACGCTATCTACCAGAGGCGATCGCATGTGCTTGCATTTACTTGGCGGCCTGCAACTTAGGCATTCCGTTACCCCGCCACCCGGCCTGGTGGGAGATGTTCACCGTCGATGACGAATCGGTACGCGAGATCTCTCTTTGCCTGTTGCGACTGTATGCCCGCCCAAAACCGAACGTGACAGAGATAGAGTCTGAATTGTCTAAACTCCGTAAAAATCTAATGGAAGCGAAAGAGCGCGAGGTAGAGTTAAAAAAACAAGCACAAGCTGGTTCCACTCCACCTAATCAGGTTGTTCAGGGTCCGGTTGACGTTTCACCAGCCTCACTTCCAGTGCCTGAAAAACCTTTATCTTCTCAGGATGATGTTCCTCTCAAGTCAGGTACTCTGAAACCAGTGGGCGGCCATTCACTACCACCGAACTCCGTCCTGGCCACTGCGATCGCAACTGCAAAGGCAGTTGCGGCTAACATCGCATCCAAAGCGACCACGTGCAACAATGCTGAGGCCCGACCTTCAAGTCCACTATCGGCCGACCCACCTCCAAGCGATTCCTCCAACTTGAGCTCACATGCTGCTGCGGGCATCCCGTCAATCAAACGAGGGAAACGCTCCGATTCTTCCCTCACCAAGAGGTAAGCCATGCTTTCTTTTATATTATTCCCCACTTGTTTTCAATATGTGCTTGTACTCACCTACATACTTCCTGATGGATATTATTATTGGAGTCCCACACTAGACAGATACTGACAACTCGGGGAAATAGGAAATATATGTCCGACACTGTAGGCGATTTATCCCAAACCTGACATTTCCAATCCGCTGTGATCAGGACTCATCGCGACGAGACTGGACCTTTACGTGTTGCGATGTTTTTGCGTATACCCGTGACCTATTGTGCTGAGTGGAACCATCCAAGTACCTTCAGAACTACTCATACCAAGTGGTTCACTGATCATGAGTCAGACAAACTCACATTTATTATCCTGTGAGATTAGTCAGAGGTAGATGACCACTTAAAACCTAACCATGGGAAACAACTAGTGTGGGTTGTAAGTGCATAGCCCGATCGACATGAAACACGAACGCCACGCAGTCTCTGACGGTGAGAGAACACCACCCAGTGCCCAATAGTTGGCTGCTACCCTCAAGCTGTGCCTCCCCTGATAGGTTACCGACCCGTAGCCTTAAGGCCCTCAACCTGCTTTGTAATCCGAGGGCGCGGGTTCGAGGGGACCGGGTGACTCTCGCAGTATCCTTAGCCTACGTGCGACTTGTGATAAGGTAGTGCAAACCCGCCAAATCCCACCTGCAGCTGGCTGTGGTCCAAAACATGGGAATTATTCTGCATCATCAAAGTCTGATTGTGACACCTGTCGAGTAGATCCCAATGGGTCTCTGAAATCACACCCCCCAGCCCGCATTGTTTTATGTTCCAGATTGTTGAATCAGACGCTATACACTGGACCTTGTGTGAAAGTCATCGAGGCTTCAACTTCCTTACCAAACAGCGTGTCTTTGACTTGTTGATCCATGCGAGAACCAATTCACCGCAAGCCAGGTTGTCTTTCGTCCTGGTCATGGTTACATCGACCACATATCTACTCTTCGTCAAGTGCTAGAGTAGACAGTCGACTGATCATGGTGATGTTCCTTTACCTAAATGCCTCCTTAGACTCCGATGATGAATGAATACCTGGAAAACACATTCTCATTTTGAAGTCTACCCAGGGGCTGCGGGAAGCTGTCAACTGCGTTCCCCACGAGGGCTGTTACCTATCTCTTCAACTTAGCGATAAAAAAACAGTTCTTTCAGACTCCGGAGAGAAAGTTCTGCCAGGTGACCGACTGACAAACCCTGAATTTGCTGACGACAGTTTTCCTTGAGTCGGGCGCAGTGGCTATGCGAGCACTACTAGATGGACTGGTGCATAGCGCTGCATTCTACGCATGCGCTTTGCGGCTTCAAAGTGCCGAGTAGTGGAATCGGAGTAGTGCTGACGTCTTCCATTATGTTTTTGATTAGAAGCCTTCTGTCGCTTCATCCAAGTGTTTTCTAACCGGTAACTGATTACGTCGACTAATCCAAGTCCTCTTTATTCCCGTTAACCGCTTACCTCGGTGTGCATTTAATGCCGTCGCTGCACCACTGGGAGAAACCCTGAGGTGGAGTAAATACATGGGGAAATCTACTAGGAGACTTAAGCAGATGTATGCCGTCTTCGCAGGTGTGAATGTCGGTATGGTCCAGGTCCGTGGTTGGTGGCTCTACGAGACCTGGCGCAGTATCGCAGCGGGTGGCGCTCTTACATTTCGTAGCGAAGTTGCTCCCTAGAGATAATAATCTATTTCTGTGACTATGTGCTTTTCACATTCTTTGCAGTGTCTGTATTACTTTCCAACGTGGAAATCCACTTTGGTCTCATTTGAACACCGCGATGACCCCTGTCTAATTTGACCAGGTCAGATTGTCCGTCCATCTAGGTTTCCGATAATGAGCTCTTACACGAACGCGTGCAGCTCACCCAGCTTCTTACTCCCAACTTGGACTCGGTACAAAATTTAGCAAAATCAGAATGAGCTGGCCTATCAACTTGTTGGGTAACAAAATGGGCTAAGCGAATGTCACTTGACGAATCTACCAGCGTGCCAAGAGCAATACGTTTGAAGTCCTTTTTGCCCAGCCTGGGATAGCTGAACCCTCGATTGATGTAGGTGAATTTCTTTCCGTAAACGGCGTGTTCATTATGTTGAGAACACTCAAATTGCACTTGATTTGCGGGTCTTAAGATCGATCAGAACCTTGTAGAGTGACTGGTCCATTGAGCTGGGAAATCGTGGGTATGTGAAACAATTACGTACTGTTTCAACTCATCCAGAGCACACATTCAAGAAATCCTCAGTTAAAGAAACAGCATTGTTAAGTAGGTCATTTTGAAGACTGGGTTTGCTGTGACACTGCTGCTGATAACCCACCTGGACTCACGTTGGGGTTTGGTATCACTTTAAAGAAGTTGCAGTATGGGCCAGTTCCCAATGATGTGCTTTCAGATCAACGATTGTCCTGTCATTCACATCTTCAAAACAACTTACAAGACTGCGCGAATACTATTGGCTCAACGACCTTTTTCTCATTTGCTATTTTGCGACAACTGGTTTTTATGAAAGCCGAATCATCGAAGGCCGGGCTAGTTCACCCTAGTTTCTGTTTACTGATCGTGTCTGTTTCAGGCGTTCGAGTATTTAAACGCGCTGAATCTTCCTCGTAAAATCTCTCGTAAACTTGTTCTCGAAATGACCACAATTGACCCCGCCTCGTATTTGTTTATTGGGTGCTCTGCCGTGTTACTATGTGAACGACAAGGCTCTGCTTGGCTCCGGCGTAACTGCTATGCAAGTACCACTGAATAAGCTAACTGGCGCGTAGTGTTACATGCTTTGGAATGTGTTGCGCGCCTTCGAAATGCAGGATACTGCGGATACCCATCCGTCCTAGCTATAACCGTATAGTCACTTTTCTACAATTCCCAACTTGCTTGGCGGTAGTTTCAGGGTTAGGATTCTACCATATGCATCTGTATCCCCGTAACACTCATTCAACTCATGTCATAAGCAGCATTTTTTTCAGGCGCGTCCTTGCAACTCACTGTTTATCTGTAGTTGCCGCCTATGCCTCCACCAGCTGGTACCGTTGGTCCGCCTCGCCTTCCAGACTGGAGTCCACGTGACCCACCTTGCGCTTTACTCAAGACTACAGGACATGGCTCGCAGTCAACACCAATGGCGCGTGTTCTATTGTCTTTTAGTTGTACTACCTGTTTAAAGTTGCTTGGTGCTGAGTTATCTGCGGGGTAATGACTAATTATGGCGCCGATGCCGCGTTATTTTTGCACGATAACCAGCTGTTTGCGACGGTATGTTGACAAGGTGTAGGCCCCTTAACCCTGAATATTAGCTTGGAACATTAAGCTTTTCCGGTTAGTTCCCCTTCTCGCTTATTCTTCGTTCCGTAGTTCCTTATGGTTGTATGGCAGCGAAGCATGATTTAAAATGGCTGATGTATTGCTGTTACTGATGATAAAGGCTGCTACCTTCTTGGGGTTGGGTAGTGAAGTCACGAGGCTTTCTAGCCTACACCGAATAAAAAGCATCGACAATACCCTGTCACACCGTAATGACACGGCCATCACTATTCGCGCCACGATGAATATGCTACACGGTCGCCCAAACCTACACAGCTTTAAACCCGCAATCATAAGGTCCCTGGTTCGAATCCGCGTAGGGGTGGGCGTCCTCGTGGTGTACTCAGCCTACGCGCCACTGATAATGGTCGCGCGGCAGCTAGGCACCGTTACGGCGTACAGCTGACACATTATATCTTATTTTATCGACTGTGATCCATCCATTAGGGGATATGAGTGCGCAAGTAGGTCGTCTGAACTCTTCAGAAGCTGAACTGTTAGGTACGAACTTAATTACAGCCGTTCGGACAACGGGGTGCATGTTTCAACTGCGCGCACCACCGACTGTTTCTTACTGGCACCGCTTTTAGACACGGTAGGCGCCAAAGTGCCACTTGCGTCCACCTATAGCTAGCCAGCGATGGTTTCAACTAAATCAGTATACATTACAAGTGGCCTTGTTCCGTCCTGGATTCTCGTTACGGGACAAGACGGTTCGCGTGTCTAATCGACCCGTTGAGCTATCCTGAGTGGGACTCCTTGGCCCTTTAAAAGCTACTCTTAAGATATTGGTTAATGACTACAGGTCAGACAAGCTCAGTCTCCTGGTCCTTCAGATTGGGGGTTTAACATGAGATCGCGTCCATTTACCTAGAACCGAATCGTTGCCACATCTGCCTTGCGAACAGGCTTTTGAGCCAAAGCTTTTGGTCCAGGAGCCTAATCGTTCTGTCTAGGTCTAGGCACCCTGGCGATATCAGCCCGCGTACAACCATGACTACTGCTTCAGACTTCACCGACCTCCTGCTTCGGCCGTCGCGTAGTTTACCAAGGGTCCCTTTGTTGCATACAGCAGGGCGGATATGCGCAAACATGCTACTCCGTGTGCCTCCCTTCTTTCCTTTCCACCTGTTTCACTTATTCTCTTATCAATCCCCATTACTAGCCTTCTACAATTCCTTGTTTAATTGATAGCAACCGCAATGCCACTGGAGTCATACCATCTGCAGGTATCTGCCCGTACCACCCACTGGATACCAATCGCCAATAGTTCCTTATGAGGCTACACTGTCCCGTTTCGTTGGTGGCGTTCAACGTTCGCACTGTAAGATACCTACGTCAACGGGTTGCGCTCGCACGTATTGTGTGCGCAACTAGGATCAATGACTTACAGGGTCGTTGAATCAACTGCACTCGGTTTGTCTTCTTGCTATTAGTTGCACGCATCCGGTGGCACTGATGCGGCGCTCACTGGTCAAACTGGTCTAGGCCTCGTTCTCCTCCAAGGCTGTCCTCGTTGGTTGATTGGATTTCCGGGGGCCACCGTTTATGTACAGTCCGTTTGACAACATCGACGAAGGTTGATTCACAGAGTAGCACTAGATACTGTTTGTTTGTGCTTTCCGCTTATGCCCACTGACTGCGGTTCTGACGCTGCCAAGAACGCCTATCAC